GAACCACCCCTTTACTTCTATCATCACCGCTTTTCAGTCAGACGAACCTGACCCAACCACTGCACTACCTTCCTGTTGCACCTGCACCCCCAAGCTGTATTCTCACCGTTCCCTCTGCCTAGGACACACCACCTTCAGAACTCTTCATAGCCAATTCTTCAATTCAAGTCCTTCAACTTTTTGCTTAAATATTATCCTCTATTCCCCTCCCGTCCCCATCCCTCCCTCCCCTCCCTGTTGTATACCTGTGTACCTCTCTCTCTCTCTCTCTCTCTCTCTATCTGTGTGTGTGTGTGTGTGTGTTTGTATGCATGTATGCTCTCAAACGCATGTGCAGGCCAGAGACTAATGTTGGGTGTCTTCTTGAGTTGCTCTTCACCTTACTTTTAAAAACAGGCTCTCTCGCTGAAGCTTGAGTTCATCAATTCACCTAGAGAGACGGTCACAGAGCTTGCAGGGAGGGATCTGCCTGCTCACCCTTGCGGCGCTGAGGTTGTAAATGTTTGCTGCTGTCTGGCTCCTGGAGATCTGAACTACGCCCTCATGCTTATGCACAAGCACTTTATCCCCGGAGGGGAGCGGTCTCTGCGGCTCAGGGGACTTTTTTTTTTTTTTTTATGGTCCAATAACTCACTGAAAAGCTATGGTCTTTTCGAACTCCCTGACCCCTAGGTCCCTAAACCTGTTTTACTACATTGTATTAAAAAAATAATAATAACATGTTAGATGGGTGTGGTGAAAGCCTTTAATCCCAGCACTTAGGAGGCAGAGGCAGATGGATGTCCAAGTTTGAGGCCAGCCTGGCCTGACAGTGAGTTTCAGGGCATCCAGGGATACACAGAGAAACCGTCTCTTGAAAAACAAACAAAAATACTATCTTCCTGTAAGAACAGGATGACTCAACTCCTGGGAGCACTGACTGCTCTTCCAGGGAACCTGGGTTCAATTCCAGTATCCACAGGGTGGCTCACAACTGTCTATAGCTCCAGTCTCAGGCAATTTGACACCCTTTTCTGACCTCCCAGACACCAGGCATGCTCATGCCACAGAGACATATACGCAGGCAAAACACCCATATATGACATTAAATAAAAATACATCTTAACAACAACAACAAAAAGACTTATAAAAAAGGGATTTCTACATCATATAATACTGATCTCCCTAAGTGTCTTTATCTGACACGTAACAGTGCTCAGTGTTTGCTGAATAGGAGCAGTACTTTTGAATTTTAATTATGTATCTATTTGCGCATGTACTTCTCTCATGGTCTGATCTGTCTACCCCCGTTGATTCACAAGCTGCCTGGGAGCAAACTTGAGTCAGTTGTATATGTCCTGCATCTTTAGTGCTTGCTTGCCACCGAGGGAATGCTCAATGCACATCTGATGAGTAACTGGACACATGGCCCCCATGGCTAACTCAACTTCCTCTTCCCACCACTGCCCCTCTGAGTACTCACCTGTGTTCAGCTCTATCCTGACAGACACCTCTGCCCTCTCTCCTGTCAGGGGCTCCTGGGACCCCCACAGGCTGAACACCGTAGTACAGGCAACCAGGATCCATGATGTGCACTGTCAGGGTGATGAGAGGGGTAGTGAAAAGGAGGAGGGGATTAAGCGAGAGTGTCTGAGATTCAGGGGGATGAGATTACTCTCTAGCAACCTGCCTACCTGTGCCTACTGTGGGCCTGAAGGCGGGGGTTGGGACAGCTGCCTGGGAACTGTCTGGAGTCCTGGAAAGAATTTTGTTGGTTATTAAGGAAAAAGGACAGCCCCCATGCCCTGCTGATCTCTTCCTCTACTCAGGATCAAATTCTTAGGTAGCAAACCAACTCACACGTCCTGAGCTGCCTGTGCACTGCCTCTTAAGTCCAGGCCAAAGTAGATGGCATTGGGCATCATCTCCATGGGTTTCAGGACTGAAGGTTGTTCAGAGGAGGAAGGAACAAGAGGAGAGGACCTCTGGCTGCACCCTGAGTCCCTGGATGCTTCCGGATCCCAGAAGGTTGGGCTTAGTCCAGGCCTCTGGGCAGTGGCAGGGCCACTGAGGCCAGGCACTGCCCTGGGCTTGGGCACAGGCTTGGGGGGTTGGTCATCTGGGCCTGGGCTTGGAGATGACTCCATGGTACTATCCACCTGGGAATCCAGGGAACCCTCAGAGCCCGCCTGCAACAGGCGCAGGATGCGTTTCCGGTGTCCAGTAGCACTGATGCCCAAATGCCTCAGCTCCTCGTGGCCCAGGCGTTGGGCTGCACCAGCTGTAGTTAGGCCATGCTGTCGGAAAGTGTCCGCGTACTGCTCCAGATGCACCTCAGCCAGCCACACAGCGATGTCCAGGTCCTGAGGGGCAGCCATGGGCTCTCAGGCCATTACTGGGGGGAGGTGCAGGGTGAAGGGAGGGCTCAGGCTGAGATCCCCCCTCCCGACCCCAAAGTCTGAGGCCTGGGTGGGGGTCCCAGGCTCCAGTGTTCTTTCAAAGAAGAGTGCCCAAAGGCTGTGATCTGGGGACAGAGCCATCTCAGGACAAGAACACACTTTCGCCTTACAGGGATTGAGGAAAATGAGGCCCATTCTCACAGCAAGTGGTGCTAGTGTTGGTCCCCAAGTGCCTGCCTCATAGCTGTTCCTGCTTTCTGTGCACTCAGCTGAGTAAGCATAACAAGATGCTGGAGTGCTGCAGGGCAAGACAGAGTGAGGAGGTGGAGAAGCAGAGGCCACTGAGGGGGCCAGATCCAGCTGCTGAGGGAGACAGGAGAGGGGCAGGCCAGAGAGGGAGAAGGAGAAATGGACTCCACTCACACTGGTTTCCAGAGCTGAGCTTCAGGGTGGACATCCTAATCCTGGCCATTCCCAGTTCCTCCTCCCCTTCCACCTATTGTCTCTCCTCAGACTTCCTTCCTGTCCCTCTAGCCTGGCCACCCCCACATCCTGCCTGCTGTGGTCAGGCTGCCCAGAGGGCCCCAATTAATCCCAGTGTGTGGGGTCCTGGCCCAGGCAGAGGCCACCTAGCAAACAGAGATGGGTGGAGAACCTGGCTGTACAAATGAGTGACCAAGGGGGAGAGGTAATCCAAGGTATTCTTTGTTCTCCACCCATGTATATGCATGTACACACGCACAGAGACTCAGCTGTGTGAACACACACAGAGAGACACACAACTCTAACTCAGCAGTGTGAAAACACATACACACACAGACTCAGCAGTGTGAAAACACACACACACACAGACTCAGCTGTGTGAACACACACACACACAATCAGTAATGTGAAAACACACACAGAAACACCCAAACTAACTCCCAAATGTGAGCTCTCCTCTCTCTCTCTCTCTCTCTCTCTCTCTCTCTTCCAAATCTTTCTTTTCTGAGCCTGCCTTTTCCCTCCCCTTTTGACAGGGTCTCTACAGCCCTGCCCCATTGGGCCAACCTACCCTTTATCCTGCTGCATACCCTGTATCCATTTCAGCTTCAGTTCTCCCAGAGTTTTAGGTTCTGTCCTGTCCTTGTCCCTACCTGGCTCTACCTCCACCTACATCTCTCAAAATTTAGCTTTGTCCCCCTCCTCTGCATTTTACTCTGTATTATAAAGCTTGTCAGGTCCCGGTATTCTAAACAAGTCTTAAGTTCTGTGTGTCTGGCCACCTCTGACCCTTGCCTGGCCTCTGCTGTTGGGCCCTATTCCCGCTGCTCCCATCCCAGCTGCTCTCCTACTGGGTTCTGGTCCAGGGTCCCCGCTGCTCCTCTCCGTCTCAGGGTCAGTTCTGGCTTCTCTACGCTTGGGTCCCATCCCCAGGATAGGCTAGGGTGTGGGGTGTTAA